GTGTGAGTGTGAGTGTGAGTGTGAGTGTGAGTGAGTGTGAGTGTGAGTGTGTGCGTGCGTGCGTGCGTGTGTGTGTGTGTGTGCGTGCGTGTGTGGATACATCTTTAAGTCCATCATTCACATTAGCAGTCCAAACATGTCTGTGTGGATTAAACTCAGTGTTTCTGCTGTAGTAACATCAGTAGGATGTTCTCTGTGATCTTCTGCTCTCACAATCAACACTAGTACTAGAGATTGAGTTGAACAGCACTAACAAACAGCGACTATCTGCTATAGTGATGCGCGGCGACTGCAGCAGATCTTCACAGGTATCTGTCTCACATTTATAAAGTTAAAGTAGGTCAGCGAGCAGCAGCAGGAGCGAACTCGACAGCCAAAACAGACCCAATCAAACAAACGCTCACAAAACGGCAGGAAACAGACGAAAATAAAACACCTCGCTGTTATTATTACACTGCAGGTGAACATTTAACCTGAAAACACAGAGAAACTCAAACAACACCAGACGCGCTCCTCATCTGGATCAAAGCATCTGATAAACCAATACAATGCAAATGTAATGAGAGAAAAAACAAACAATTATTTTTTATGTTTATTCATGTTTTGTGACAATTTAATTTAATTTAATTTAATTTAATATGTCTGCCACCCCAATTAATACTAATAAAAACAATAATATTTCATATTAATATTATTATTATTAATAATAAAAATAAGAGTCAGAATTTTAGAGCATTAATGCTCTGTTAATATTGCACCAAATATCACTTAAATCTTAAAATCTCAGAGCGAGTGTGTGTGTGATGTGCTGGTGTATTCGTGGCTGTTACTGTGGTTTTGCCGTGGGGTTTAGCGCTGTTGACCTGGTTACTGAGGAGAATAATCACATCTCCAGAGACACACACACCCTTCATTTGTCCTTCAGCATCACCCCAACATCCTCCTTTATCTCCGGCACAGTTAATGGGGTCGTTTCATACATTTCATATCTTCCCCGAGCTCCTCTCATCACGTTCCTAGAGGTTTCATGCACCAAAAACGCCCATAATCGAGTCTCTCATGATCACTTTACACCCTCTTTCTGATCCGTACAATAAAAGACAGTCTGTTTTTGCTACTGCGCCTTGAAGACATCTATATGTAAATCATATTCGACTCAATTTTTTTAGTTCTCCTGGTGTCCTACTTCCTCCTGTTTGGTGTAAATGTGCATGATCACATGTTCATGTTTCAATTAACGCCAAGTCCATTTTGGACATTTTCAGAGAGTTTTGAGTCCTGGAAACTCACAATATGACCCTTTAAACCTTCGGAAAACATCCCTCGAAACACAAGAATCAGCACCGAGCAACCCGCGCAAAAAAGCTCTCATCAGTCCTGAACACACAGTCTATACACACGCTAAACAGATTACTGACAGAGCATTCATCAGCAAACAAGCGTGAGAGAAAGAGATAAAGAAAAGAGCAAAGCCGAGACAGAGGAGCATCCGGACATCTGTTTTCCCATTCGAGACGGACAGATCAACACGACCACACTGACGTTTTGGTATAAAAATATTTGCGACAAATAGCGCTGGATAATGTTATATAACGCTCCGAGACGAGCGGATAAAAGCTCCCGAGACACTGAGCAAACATCCAGAAGAAGGAGCTTCATTAAGTGTTATTGACTCGCTGACTAATGAACAAACACGGCTGACGGCTTCATCTCGGTGACAAATACTCACGACAGCGAGAGCGTGAAGTGGAAGCGCTGCCGGAGACCCTTGAAGGTGATGAAGGTCTGCGGAGGGAAGTTCCTGGAGCTCATGTGGCAGAAGGGCTTCTCGAAGCCTCCGGGAGGACACTCGCACCTGAAGCCGCCCACCAGCAGATTGAGACACGTCCCGCCGTTCTTACACACGCCCTCGGCACAGCGGCCCGAGCTCGACGAGATCTCGCATCGCTCACCTGCCGGACAGACAGAGTTCATCAGTTCAGTTTGAACACAGAGATACATTTTATTGGTCAAATGTTGCTTATTTACATCTCACTTCATAGAGATCTCAGTTACGTTTCATTGAAGTATCAGCTTTGTCTCAGATGTTTCTCCTGAAACAGGCCCAACTGAAGCACTAGTCATCATCCAGTGAGATTCTGATCATTTGGCGAGAAATGTTTGAGATATCAGACTTTTGACTGAGACTTTGGGATCTTGAGAAAATCTGAGCACAGTTTGAGACATAGTTGAGATGTCTTCCGAAACTCTAGAGGAGACACGAGTGAGATTAATGGGCTCTTTTTCTCAGGAGAAACATATGAGAAGCCAGAGACTTTACAAATATCAATTTAATCTCCTGGAGAAACAACTGAGACAAAAGAGATCTAGTTTAAGATGTTTGCACAGCGGCCGGATCGCAATGAAATCCTGCATTGCTCACCCGCTGGACGGAGAGAAAGAGTTTATTAGTCTAGTTTGAAACACAAACAGATTTTAATGCTCAAACGTTGCTCTTTTACATCTCACTTCATAGAGGTCTCAGTTACATTTCATTCAAGTATCAGCTTTGTCTCAGATGTTTCTCCTAAAACAGGCTCAAATGAAGCACTAGTCATCATCCAGTGAGAAGTGTTTGAGATCTCTGACTTTTGATCGAGACTTTGGGATCTTGAGCAAATCTGAGCACAGTTTGAGACAAAGTTGAGATTTTACATTTCGTTGAAATATCAGCTTTGTCTCAGATGTTTCTCCTAAAACAGGCCCAACTGAAGCACTAGTCATCATCCAGTGAGTAGTGTTTGAGATCTCTGACTTTTGATCGAGACTTTGGGATCTTGAGCAAATCTGGGCACAATTTGAGACAAAGTTGAGATTTTAAATTTCATTGAAATATCAGCTTTGTCTCAGATGTTTCTCCTGAAACAGGCCCAACTGAATCACTAGTTATCATCCAGTGAGAGTATAGAGATTATTGGTGAGAAATGTTTGAGATATCAGACTTTTGTTTGACACTTTGGGATCTTGAGCAAATCTGAGCACAGTTTGAGACATAGTTGAGATGTCTTCCGAAACTCTAGAGGAGACACGAGTGAGATTAATGGGCTCTTTTTTTCTCAGGAGAAACATATGAGAAGCCAGAGACTTTACAAATATCAATTTAATCTCCTGGAGAAACAACTGAGACAAAAGAGATCTCGTTTAAGATGTTTGCACAGCGGCCGGATCGCAATGAAATCCTGCATCGCTCACCTGCTGGACAGAGAGAAAGAGTTTATTAGTCTAGTTTGAAACACAAACAGATTTTAATGCTCAAACGCTGCTCTTTTACATCTCACTTCATAGAGGTCTCAGTTACATTTCATTCAAGTATCAGCTTTGTCTCAGATGTTTCTCCTAAAACAGGCTCAAATGAAGCACTAGTCATCATCCAGTGAGAAGTGTTTGAGATCTCTGACTTTTGATCGAGACTTTGGGATCTTGAGCAAATCTGGAGCTGGTTTAAGCTGGTTCTTAGCTGGTCATGAGCTGGTATGAGCTGGTTTGAGCTGGTTTAAGCTGATTATGAGCAGGAACTAGTTGCTTAGGACCAGCTTAGCACATGACCAGCTTAAACCAGCTCAAACCAGTAGTCATGCTTCAAAACATACCTAACCAGCATATGCTGTTTTTTTTCAACAAGGATAAGATCTCATAATGATATTAAATTCATTAAACATCACTATACACTAGAGCAACATTTTCAATCTGATCTCCATTTCATCTCATTGCTCTTGAGATACAAGATATTAAAGAGATCTCATTTGTGATTTTTCTGTCCTGTGGTGATCAGTATCACTGTTTTAAGTTTAAGTTTACATACAACAATACACTTATTCAATAACACTTCACAAACAAATTGACAAAAATGACATTAATTTAGTTTGTTTCTAATAAGAAAGCTCTCAGTTTGATCTCTATTTCATCACATTAAAACTGAGATTTCTATTTCATCACAGAAAAACTTAGATTTTTAAGAGATTTCACTTCTGAGTTTTCTTTCTTATGCTTGTGTGTGTGTGTGTGTGTGTGATTGTGAGAGAGTGTGTGTGTGTGTGTGTGTGTGTGTGTGAGAACACAAAGGCGACACTGTTCGACACACAAAAGACGATTCGTCACGCTCATCATAACGGAAACATTTGTGTGCGTGCCAGTCGCTCCATCTTCCTGTTTACACACACATTCCCTGGGTTTGCGGCCGGTTCGGCGCGTGATGAAATATTGATGCGGTGTGTGTTGGATTCTCTCAGAAGGTCTTTGATGGGAAACGAGGTCAGAGCTTTAAATACGGGCTCCACATCAAAGAGCTCATCCATATTCATACACACACTCGACATGATCCTCCGAGAAGTTCAGCGTGAACCCGACAAAACTCAAGCAACCAGCACTCACAGTCAGTTCAGGGTCAGCCTCGTTAAACCCTCATTTACAGCCATTATCAAGTGACTAATGACCCGACGCTCATGTTTAAGCTCCTTCTTCAATTCCAAGGGCAATGACGAGAAACCGGCGTCTGTCAAACGATGGTACGTCTCTGGAAAAGTAGTTTACTACCTTACAAAATACTAAGAAATGGTAGCTAGTTATCTTATTTATATTTAATTAATCATTGTATTAACATATAAATTTAACTAAATACAGTATAAAAATACAAAACAGTTTTTATGACTGAAACAAAACAATTTCACATTTTGACTCATCTTGACCAAATGTTCACACTGGCGTTACACTGGGTTCATAGTTGAGCAATGATTCAAATGAATCATATTAACGACTCACTATAATGAATCTTGAGTCAGGGTCATTCTATGGGTGTGTGACTAATAAAACTAATCAGCTTATCTAACTGAACTGAACACATTAAACAGCAGTATTCAGTGTCAAAATTAATATCATCACTAGTGAATTGTTCACATTAAGACCAGGAACATGTGTTAAAATTCAGTATTGATTCATCTTGATTGCAAAAAAACATACAGGGTTCACTGTTGAGCTATGATTCAAATCAATCATTATAAACTTTGTTTGAAGTGATTCACTACAATGAATTGTCTGGAATGGATTGTGTGATTATTGTCTCACTCATTGTGGTCATAATTCAGCCCTACTTACAGCATAAAATACATTATCACTGCTGATTGTGATTCATGAGCTGAAGCTCATCGTCACATCAGTTCAGCGTCTGCTGAGATCACATCAATTATTAACACAGCTTTTACTCCGCATGTCTCTCTCTCTCTCTCCAGCAGCAGTATGAATGATTCATCTTATCAAAATGAACAGATCTCACGAGAGATGAGATGAGATGAGTCACAAACATGTTAAATAACACTCATGTTCAACACACACACACACACACACACACACTCACTCACTCACTCACTCACTCACTCACTCACACACACACACTCACTCACTCACACACACTCAGTCACTCACTCACACCACACACACACACACAGAGGAGGAGCAGCTGGCAGGACAGCAGGAGCCAGAAACTGACAGAACCAGAGAGAGAGACAGTTCATAGTGCTTTTAATACACTCCAGTCCTCTACAAACACGCACTGAAGCTCCTACACACCTGCACACACCTACACAACACTCTTACGTGAAGCGGCCCACACACACACACACAGAGCGCAGATCTTATGTAATCATAACATGTGGGCTGCGACACACATCATCTTAAACAAGCTGTGCAACACACTTCATCTATTATATTACATTCAGAGCGAATCTCAGGTGCTGATGACTTCTGTGAACCGCATTCATAAGACGATTGCCAGAAGACATACATGTTCTTTCACAAATCTCACCTACATCAGATCAGAGATGATTCAAATCACAGAACCACCTCTGATCTCTGACTTGAGAGCATTTTAAAGCACATGGCTCATCATCTCATTCACATTTACATCTGTTCATTTAGCAGGCACTTTTACCCAAAGTGACGCACAAACGAGGAACATCACAGATCATTTATCAGACAGGAGCTAACAAGATTTGCAATGCTCAGCTCTACTCATCACATCTCCTCTCACCTCACCGCATCACATCTCATTTGATCTTTTCTCTGACTGTCTCCATTTTTTCTGAACATCACATCTCTAATCATGTCATGCAATCTTGCTTCATGCCTCATCACATCTCATCATAATATCTCAATTCTGTTTATCACCGCTCATTTCTGACAATCACATCTTTTCTTTGGTTAATCTCAAGTCAGTATGCCTCATCATCTCATCCCTGATCATAACAGCTCATCTTATTATCACATCTCATCTCTGATCATCTCCCATCGGATTATCATCTCTCATCTCTGATTGTAACATCTCATCCCTGACCATCACGTTGCATCTGATTATCACATCCCATCTCAGATCACATCTCATGTGATTATCACATCCCATCTCTGATCATAACCTCTCTTATACGATTAGCATTTTTCATCTCTGAATGTAACATCTTATCTCTGACAATCACATTGCATGTGATCATCACATCTCATCTCCTCCTCTCATCTTACCTCATCACATTTCATCTGATTATCACATCTCACCCCTCATCAATAATATCTCATTTCTGATCTTCTTATTTTATCACATAATATCTTACCTAATCTATTTGTTCAGAAAATCATAACACTGTAAAATCGTAACATCACATCTCTGACCATAACATTGCATTTAATTATCACATCTCATCTGATTATCATATGGCATCTCTGATTGTAACATCTCATCTCTGATCATCTTTTCTCACTTCATTAAGTCTTACCTCATCACATCTCATCTCTCATAACATCTCAATTCTGTTTATCACCGCTAATTTCTGACAATCACATCTTATCTTTGGTTATCCTACTTAATGTCAAGTCATCATTATGCCTCATCATCTCATCCATGATCATAACATCTGGTCTGATTATCACATCTCATCTCTGATCATCTCCCATCGGATTATCATCTCTCATCTCTGATTGTAACATCTCATCACTAACCATCACATTGCATCTGATTATCACATCCCATCTCAGATCACATCTCATGTGATTATCACATCCCATCTCTGATCATAACCTCTCTTATACGATTAGCATTTTTCATCTCTGAATGTAACATCTTATCTCTGACCATCACATTGCATTTGATTATCACATCTCATCCCTAATCATATCTCATCTCTTATCATCTCATTTTACCTCATAACATCTTACATCATCACATTTCATCTGATTATCACATCACGTCCTTCATCAATAATATCTCATTTCTGATCATCTCATAATATTTTACCTAATCCATTTCATCAAATAATCTAATCTCACCAGATTATCACATCTAATCCCTGATCACATCTCATCTCAGATCATTTTATCTTACCTCATAACGTCTCGCAACATCACATTTCATCTGATTATCACATCTCATCCCTCATCAATAACATCCCATTTCTGATAATCTCATAATATTTTACCTAATCCATTTGATCTGAAAATCATAACATTGTAAAATCGTAACATCTCATCTCTGACCATCACACTGCATCTGATCATAACATCTCAGATCATCAGATTATATATATACCGTTCATAACATCATCACATCTCATCTCTGACTCATCTCTGGAGATCTCACTGTCACGTCATCTCGTATCATCTACTATTCTCTGTGATTATCGAGTGTTTTGCAAACCCTCAAAGGGGTCGTGAGCTGAACTCAGTTCTGAGAGAAACTGTGCCGTCTGAATACGTGACTGGAATCTAAAGCCGTTTCTCTTCATAATGTTCTGAGCACCAGAGCAATCAAAACACACCTGCAGGGGCTTCTCGACCTCCACAAAATACTTCATAAACATGACTCCTCATAAACTCTTTATATATGAATATGAGAGAGGGATGTGGGCGTGTTTGTGTGTGGAGGCTCCGCCCCTCTCACCTGTGTAGTCGTGGAGACACTGGCAGGTGAAGCCTCCCTCGTGGCTGCGGCAGACGCCGTGAGCGCCGCAGGGTTTGGAGTAGCACAGGTCGATTTCCGTCTCGCAGTAGTCGCCCGTGAAGCCGAGCGGACAGCGGCAGCGCAGCCCGGCGATCGGGTGGATCGGCCGGAACAGGATGGTGTCGGACGCCACGAACGGCGCCAGGCTGTCGAACTTCAGCACGGATACGCACTTCATGTAGTTCTCGCACGGCTCGCGCAGGCAGATGTTGTCGTCGAACGGGAGCACCTCCTGCAAAAAAACAACAACTTAGGGGTGTACAGGTACACAAACATGACGGTTCGATACGAAGCTCGGTTTTGACGTCACGGTTCGGTATGGTTTCAGTGCAGCAGGAGGAAAAAGCTAAACATAACTTGCTTTTTTTAAAATTAAACAATGGTTTACTGAACAAATTGCTCTTTCTTTAAATAAATTCAATTGGAATTTGTATTTTCTTAGGGATACAAATCTACCTCAGCTTCTCTGAACTACAGGGAGCACTTTTACATTACTATACGGTTACAATAAACAACAGAGCCCAAACTTAAATTCAATTACTATTTGTGACCCTGGAGCACAAAACCAGTCATAAGGGTCATTTTTTCGAAGTTGAGATGTATACATCATCTGAAAGCTGAATAATGAGCTTTCCATTGACGTATGGTTTGTTAGGATAGGACAATATTTGGCCGAGATACAACTATTAGAAAATCTGGAATCTGAGGGTGCAAAAAAATCTAAATATTGAGAAAATCATCTTTAAAGTTGTTCAAATGAAGTTCTTAGCAATGCATATTACTAATCAAAAATTAAGTTTTGATATATTTACGGTAGGACATTTACAAAATATCTTCATGGAACATGATCTTTACTTAATATCCTAATGATTTTTGGCATAAAAGAAAAATGTATAATTTTGACCCATACAATGTATTGTTGGCTATTGCTACAAATATACCCCAGCGACTTAACACTGCTTTTGTGCTGCAGGGACACAAATAGGGTAACTTCCAAAGTAACCTTCCCAGCACACTGTAGATGAAAATGCGGGATATTTTCTCAACATGCCACCGTACCTGCGAGGAGATCTGCGCCAGCAGGCTGCGGTTCAGATACAGACGCTCCTGCAGCTCCTCCGACCCCAAGAACTCCACGCGACCTCCGCCGCTGACCCCGTGACCCGGGGCCGCCACCGACAGGCTGACGTTCAGGATGCCGGCGCTGACGTCTGTGTCGTCCTGGATGTTGAAGACCACCACGTCTTCACGGGACGCCGAGAGAACGCGGGCCACGCCCTCCAGGAACTGAGCCAATAGGAGCGAGAGGAAGCGCTCCTGCGACGTGTCGGCCAATCGCAGCGTGATGCTGTTGGAGAGCATCTCGTCCGTGATGATGGTGACCTGCAGCAGACACTGAGCCGACACCGAGTGAACGCCATCTACAGGGACACAGAGGAACGAACAATCACTGAATCACTGCAACCATACTAACTTAAAGGAAAAGGTCACAGAAAGAATGTTTTTCTTACAATTACTCAGATTATTGTGATGGTTCACTTAAATGAATCGGTTCAGTTGGATGGTTCACTTAAGCGAATCAGTTCTTTCGCATGTTTCACGTAAATAAATCAATTAATTTGAATGGATGAATTGGTTTTTTGGGATAGTTCACTTATGTGAATCAGTTAATTTAGATGGTTCACTTACATGGATCGGCTCATTTGGAAGATTTACCAAAATGAACTGTGTTGAATGAATTGGTTGTTTTGGTTAGTTCACTTATGTGAATCAGTTCATTTAGATGGTTCACTTACATGAATTGGCCCATTTGGATGATTTATAAAAAATGTATTGTTCAATTGCATGATTCACTTGAATTTTAATGAATGAGTTTATTAACTTGAATGGATGAATTGTTTCTTTGGGATAGTTCACTTATATGAATCATTTCTTTTAGATGGATCACTTACATAAATTGGCTTATTTGGATGATTCACTTAAGCGAATCAGTTCTTTCGCATGTTTCACGTAAATAAATCAATTAACTTGAATGTATGAATTGGTTCTTTGGATAGTTCACTTATGTGAATCAGTTCATTTAGATGGTTCACTTACATGAATTGGCTTATTTGGATGATTCACTTAAGTGAATCAGTTCTTTCGCATGTTTCACGTAAATAAATCAATTAACTTGAATGGATGAATTGTTTCTTTGGGATAGTTCACTTATGTGAATCATTTCATTTAAATGGTTCACTAAAAAGAATTGGCTCATTTGGATGATTCACTTAAGTGAATCAGTTCTTTCGCATGTTTCACTTAAATAGAAAAAAAAAAACTTGCTACATGTTCTGTGTTAGGCTAACCGAGACTTGTTATAGCACTTGCATTTTATTGCTCTTTTGTTGATTTTAATTGTTTCCATTGTCCTCATTTGTAAGTCGCTTTGGATAAAAACATCTGCCAAATGACTAAATGTAAATGTAAATAAATCAATTAATTTGAATTGATGAATTGGTTCTTTGGGATAGTTCACTTATGTGAATCAGTTCATTTAGATGGTTCACTTAAAATGAATCGGTTCATTTGGATGATTCACTTAAGTGACTCCGTTCTTTCGCATGTTTCTCTTAAATAAATCAATTAATTTGAATGGATGAATTGGTTCTTTAGGATAGTTCACTTATGTGAATCCGTTTATTTAAGTGGTTTACTAAAATGAATTGGCTCATTTGTATGATTTACCAAAATAAATTGTGTTAAATGAATTGGTTCTTTTGGATAGTTCACTTATGTGAATCATTTCTTTTAGATGGTTCACTTAAATTAATCGGTTCCGTTGGTTGGTTCACTTAAGTCAATCAGTTCTTTCGCATGTTTCACGTGAATAAATCAATTAATTTGAACGGTTCACTTAAATTAATTGGTTTATTTTGATTGTTTACTTATCTGAATCAGTTCATTTAGATGGTTCACTTAAATGAATTGGCTCATTTGGATGATTTACCAAAATAATTTGTTCAATTGCATGGTTCACTTACGTTTTTTTGAGTGAATCTTCCAAATGAATGGGTTCTTTTAAGTGAACAGACCAAATGAACAAATTCATTTAAAGTGAACCATCCAATGTTCAGATTCATTTCAAACTAACCATCTAAATGAATGAATTCATTTAAGTAAATCGTCCACACGAACAGATTTTAGTGAATAGCCCAAATGAACAGATTCATTTCAGTGAATCATCCAAATGAACAGATTTCTGTGAATCACCCAAATTAATTCATTTATTTGAGTGAACCATCCAAATGAAGGGATTCATTAAAGTGAACCATTCAAATGAACCGATTCATTTAAGTGAACGGAGTTAAACTAAACAATTCATTTAAGTGAACCATCCACACAAATCCATTAATATGGATTATTCACTTAAATAAAAATCCCTTCATTTGGTTGGTTCACTTAAATGAATCTGTTAATTTAAATGGTTGACTTAAACTGGTTAATTTAGATGATTCACTTAAATAAATCCATTCATTTGGACAAAAGAACTGGTTCATAAACAATTGACTGATTCAGTCATTGTGCTTCAGTGTTGTTAGCTACTAGTTTGACTGTACTTGAACTCATTTAAATGCTGAATATCTTGTCGTTTGACTAACTTCCCATCACGGTTTTGGCTCTAACGAGCAGCGTTTCCTTCAGCACAATCTAGCAGTGATCGCTAATTGACCGAACACTCATCCAATCCACGGGATGCAAATAAACAGCATTAATCCTCCGCTCCGAGCGCCTGCCAATAAACATCTGATCCGGGTCCAGGACAGCAGTCCAAACACAGAGAAAGAAATGCTGGGAACCACTTACAACATCAACTCGAACGCTACACTACACTAACAAACAAACACGTTCATCAGACACAGATTAGGCGATTAATGCATGCATTCTTCAAATCATGACAGTGTTTCAGTTTCACCTGATAAAGCTGACATATTTAGACTTCTTTTACCTCAACATCAAATCAGTGTTATTTTAGTATGATTCTTAATATTTGTGTCCCTGCAGCACAAAAGCAGTGTTAAGTCGCTGGGGTATATTTGTAGCAATAGCCAACAATACATTGTATGGGTCAAAATTATACATTTTTCTTTTATGCCAAAAATCATTAGGATATTAAGTAAAGATCATGTTCCATGAAGATATTTTGTAAATCTCCTACCGTAAATATATCAAAACTTAATTTATGAGTAGTAATATGCATTGCTAAGAACTTCATTTGAACAACTTTAAAGATGATTTTCTCAATATTTAGATTTTTTTGCACCCTCAGATTCCAGATTTTTCAAATAGCATAAATCTCAATTTCACAAAATTTGACCCTTATGGTTTTGACTGGTTTTGTGCTCCAGGGTCACATATAATAGAATTTTTATTTTTTCAATTCTCATTTTAATTTTAGCTTTAGTAATTTTACTTTAAAAAAACAATTTGTTGTTTATTTTAATATTTCTATTTAGCTTTAAATGATTTTTACGTCACTTTTAGATTTAGTCATTTTAGTACTTCAAGTTAAAGATATTTAATTTCAGTTAACATTTCTAACTCAGAATTAATTTTTTTCTAACTATGTTTTTAAAGTTTTCTAGGTTTTCATCTAAAATTCATATTTTTTTCTTTCAGCTTTCAGTTTATGAAAATGATTTTTAATAGTTTTAGGTAACAACAACAACAATAAAATAAAATTAGTATATTTAAATATGTAAATAATAGTCAATAACGAACTGGAAAATTTGACCTTTATTTTATTTATATTTTTTACTTAACATATTTACTCCTGACCTCAGGTTTGTGTACAGTATATTTTGATCATGTATATTAAGTTAGCTTATGACCCAAGTCTGGAGACTCGAGAGGTTGACTGATATGAATAAAACAAACTCAAACGACAGACTCTTGATAATAACAGCCTGTCAGAGCAGTCACACGCCTCCAATCAAAACCTGAGCTCAAACCAGCCGATGACGATAATAAAGCAGCTTCACTTTTAGCACACAATAATGCAGATTCACTGTTTTACAGCCGATACAAAAAGCCTGAGAAACGACTTGAGTTTAACCTACATACAAACAAGCAAGACACGTGAACATGTGACATACAACACACAGACACACACGCTCTAAACCACCCTCACTCCGACTGTTCATTTCAATCAGCTGGCTTATTTGGACTTGCACTTAAATTAATCCATTCATTTGGACAGCTCACTTATAAAGAATCGGTTCATTTGTATGGTTCACTTAAATTGGTTCATTTATGTTCGGTTCACTTAAATTAATCCATTCATTTGGACTGTTCACTTGTAAAGAATCGGTTCATTTGTATGGTTCACTTAAATTGGTTCATTTATGTTCGGTTCACTTAAATGATTTGGTTAATTTGTAAAATTCACTAAAATGAATCTGTTCATTTGGACTGCTCACTTATAAAGAATCGGTTAATTTGTATGGTTCACTTAAATTGGTTCATTTATGTTCGGTTCACTTAAGTGAATAGGTTAATATGGACTGTTCACTTGTAAAGAATCGGTTAATTTGTATGGTTCACTTAAATTGGTTAATTTATGTTCGGTTCACTTAAATGAATTGGTTAATTTGGACTGTTCACTTGTAAAGAATCGGTTCATTTGAATGTTTCACTTAAATTGGTTCATTTATGTTCGGTTCACTTAAATGAATTGGTTAATTTGTAAAATTCACTTAAATGAATCTGTTCATTTGGACTGTTCACTTGTAATGAATCTGACTGTTCATTTTGATGGTTCATTACGTGAATCGTTTCATTTGCATGGTGCATTTAAGCTTGGTTCATTTAAATCAGTTGGTTAATTCGTACAGTCCACTTAAACTGATCAAGGGTGCGACCATAGTTAGCTAACGATGCTTTTGAGAAACACACCCGTTTGGGTGGTTCACTTAGTTCATTTAGACATTTCCCTGAAATGAATCCATTCACTTGGAATGTTCACTTATAATGAATCGTTCATTCTGATGGTTCACTTAAGTGAATTGGTTCATTTGCATGGTTCACTTAAATGAATCGGTTAATTCATACAGTTCACTTAAACTGATCAAGAGTGCGTTTCCCAAAAGCATCTATGCAACTGGTTGCAATTTCTGTCGTTACCAATAGAGTTCAATGGAACTTAATTAGCTAACGATGCTTTTGGGAAACGCACTCTTATTGGGACGGTTCACTTAAAAGAATCTATTCTTCTGGACTGTTCTCTTACAATGAATCAGTTCAATTGAATGGTTCACTTAAATGAATCAGCTAAGTTGGACAGCTCATTTTAAACAAACTGGTTCATATCGATGATTTTTCAAAACAAATCCGAGCGAATGAATGAATCGTTCACTCGCATGATTTGATGAATCATTTGTGC